TATAGTTGAGTAGTGGAGGGGCGCAAACAAGTACCACCTCAGAAAAAATTGTCTCTCCAAGTACCACCATAATGACTGGTATTGAAATACATGGTAGGCCTAAATAAGTGGCTACAGCTCTCCACAGTTTACAAACATGGCAGATAAAATCTTATTATTACCAAAATGTATTATTGTCAGCCACTTTAAACATAATAAATAGTTTGAACAATAACACACTTACAGGTATAAAATAAAGATAAATAAAATGTTAACGTTTAAATTAAACGTTTAAATTAATGGGTGGACCCCACACGGGCCAGCCCATGTGGGCCCCACGCGGCCCAGCCCAGGTGGACCCCACGAGGGCCAGCCCAGGTGGGCCCTACACGAGCAAGGCCATGAGGGCCCCACAAGGGCCAACCCAGGTGGGCTCCACGCGGGCAAGCCCATGTGGGCCCCCACTTTAAATAATAATAAGATAGTTGAGTCTACTGTTATGCACAAGCACTTTTAAAATGCACCATCTTTTTCTATTTCTAAGTTTGTAAAGTAACATTTCATGTAAGGATTTAAAGGTACCATATAGTCCATCGAGTCCATATGTCAAATTGCTCTCTGATATCTACATAGTAGGTTGGTGGCTTGGGTAAGATCAAACATAGGTATAAAAACATAGGAATTACTTCAAGAATAAAAAGCTCAGTTTTGACCAAACTTAAAACGTTTGTAAATATTAATGATCTCTGCTCTGATGCTTCCATTACTCGTGTCAGTGCCTGTTCTCTCTCTCCCAAACAGTGTGATGTGCTCAGAAATATACAATCATCATACTTCGTTTGTCAATAAATATTTGAAAAAACTGAGAAGATTTTTAACAATATTTCAACTGAAGCGGTAGAGGGATTTAATTTAGTTAGGAGTGTATGTGCTAGGTTTATGTAACCAGAGTATGCACCTAAATTATAATTATACTTGACAAAAGAGAATGCATTTTGAAGCTTTGTCGTATATTAAAACACATTGATATCAACCTTATGAGGTCTTTCTTTCACTCAAGAACTAGTAAGAAAGTAGTACTGTAAGTAAGAGCTGAGTGATATGACATGATGCATAAAAGTGCATCAAATACAGCAGTTTAAATTCAGTTTTTTGACTCTTTGGAAACACATGAAACAAATTTCACAATATACACATTAAACCAGTGGTCCCCAACCTTTTTGTCACTGCAGACTGGTATGTGCTTGACAATCTTAGCACGCCATCCTGAAGATCAGTCAACTAGGTGCAGTGGTGTAAAGTAACTAATTACAAATACTCAAATTACTGTAATTAATTACTTTTTCTTAGGAATTGTAATTTACTAAGCAGTTTTAAAAATGTGTGCTTTTACTCTTACTTGAGTACATTTTTAGTGCTGTATCTGTACTTTTACTCCACTACTTTGCATCAACCTGCAGTCACTACTTTATTTTTTCTTGTCTATGGGGATTAGAAAAATCAGTCCTGTAATTCCTGTCCAATCAAATCACACATAGAAGGTAAATCGCCTCATAATGAACTACCTCAAGACATGGGGGATTTATAAATGCAGCAAACTGTTTGGAGGCATTAAAAGTGTCCAAGAAGATGTCCAAAATCAATATCAGTATTTGACGTCATTAGGATGTTGGTTTAAGATGTTGGCTCGACATTGGATTTTGGTCACTTTCTAACACTACCTAAAATCAAGCAAATATCCACGTCATTTTACGTTGTTATTAGACATCAAAATAACGTTATCCTTAGTCGCTGGCTAGACATTGAATTTTGGTCACTTGACATTACAACCTAAAACTAACCTAACATTAACGTCCTATGACGTTGTGTACCTGCTGGGCAATAACCACATTCAGTACAGAATGTTACGTTTACACACACACATCCACAAATTACATGTAAACGCATCAGCTTTTCACAGCGTAATACTCACTATGGAGGAGTACTTTTAAAAGGGTTACTTTTTACTCGTACTTTGAGTAATATTCACAACAGATACTTTTACTCTACTTGCACTACATTTTTAGACAAGTAATGGTACTTTTCCTTGAGTATGATTTTTCAATACTCTTTCCACCACTGACTAATTGTGACTGGAAGGTGTGTTGAGCCGCTTGTGCGCAAATTTGGACTGCACAAGCCACGTGCCTGCATTGGAAATAACAAACTTGCAAAGATGCAATATGTGAACGGTCGCCATCATTTGCAATCTTCAGCCATCAAACTTCTTGCACAGACATGCTGGATTCACTCGATTTGTTGACAAATGGGTTGCAGATGCATTCCTTGGGAGTTTGTTGGTCCTTCACTGGGCCTTTTCTCCTTTGTAAAAAAAAAACTTTCCAAAGACATCTGTTTCTTACTCCTTTAGCTAGCTTGTGGGTTAAATTTTGGCGCTCAAGTTACCGAGATGTAACCAAGAGAACTCGGTCATTTTTCATATTAAAAGATTTTTCAAAATAAATGATTGTTCAGACTCAGATAATAATAAAACTGAAATAAATCATGATGCTTTGTGGGGCCTGATATCAACTGATTCACAGAGCAGGGGCTTGAAGACCACTGCCTTAAACTAACAAAAGATACAAATAAACAGACCTTTTCATGGTCGAATCTGACGAGCTGTGAGCTGTCAGTGGTCCTGCATGACTGCCTGCTTCAAAAAAACAGCTCCTTTACTCATCCTTAAATCCTGTTGCATTTTTAAAATAATAAAAATCCCACACACATAGTAGGTATAATAAAAGCCTAAATAAATTTAAGATTAATGTGGAAAATATAAGGTGCGTCCCAAATCGCATACTTGTGCACTATTCTATGCAATTTGGTAGTATAAGTAGTGTAAGTAGTACGTTCACGCTGAAAACTCTTAAAATATTAAGTGCACTTTAATTACCAGAATGATGCACTCAATCAACCAGTAAAATGAAGTGTGTATTGATGGACTCTTCACAAACTCAACAGTCGCAGCTTTGCTCACATAGCAGAAGGGGCGGAGCTATCGGGTGCACATGTTGGATAACTTTATTTATTTTGGAATATGAAAGCAAAATTCTCCTTTTAGAGTGATTTTACTGCCTCCCGATGGTGAACGCGGATATACTCATGGCAGGTATTATTTGGTACTTTAATTTGGTTCATTTATTTCACTAATTTGGCAAACCGTCAAAATGTCATCAGGTAAACGGTTTGAATTTCCGCTTAGTAAAAAAATAACCATTAGTGTTCAATTTGGGAAAACACTACATACATTGACTACGCTGTTGAGTGTGTAAGTGCAAAAGTACATAGTGCATAAGTGCAGAGTGTATAGTGGGCCATTTGGGACGCAGCTATAATCTTTGTTGTAATCTCTTAAGGAAACGTTGTGGCCAGGGGTGTGCATAATAATTATAACATATGGATCATCACAGTCTGTCTTTTGATCCGACCGGCCTGTTTTTTTACCAGGATTTTTACATTCACAGGATTTACAAGAGAACAAGGAAACAATGGTGTTTGAGACTCATGGTATTTCATTTCCATACTGAAGTTTTCTCATTCAGCTCTGTCTAGGTACAGTATAATCTTTATGCCAAATCTGCTTAAATTTGCAGTTATAGTTAATCAAAGTTGTATAACAGAAACAATGATTGCTAAGTAATATTTAATCTGCAATTTTCTACAGTATTAAGTGCATTTTATGCTTTATTTGTTCATTAGCTTTACTCAAATAATGCAGTGCTGTATTAAAGGGGCACGTCATATTGTTAGCAACAAAAAAGCTTTGAAGCTAAGATTAAATGTGAAATAATTGTTTTTGAAAGCATTGCAGTTTGGTAGTTTTGGTAGTTTATTATTTATTTGCCTGCTTAGTTAATTTTTCTCTTGAAAAGAAACAAAAACATTTTAAGTATTTTTTATATACCAAATGTGTTTTATATTTCACTTATTGCATTGTGGAAAGTTCATACCTGATGTCTTTGTATTTATTATTATATTCAAACAGCCTCTTTGCTTCCAGAACATTTTCTCCCCCGCATATAATTCAGTGATGAAATCATGAACATTTAATTAGTCAACTAATTGCTTAAATGAATGACTTTTAATCAGCTAGGAAAATCATTAGTTGGGGGCAGCCCTAATAGTTTTAGGACATATTACACAGCTTGTATGTGCACAGGTGTGTTTTGTTTATTGACTAAATGACAGCACCTACAGGCATTGCCATCTGTATGCAAAGTGTTTCCATTTTCAGAACTTGAACGTCCATGTAAATACAATGAATAAAAAAATAAAAATAAAAATAGATTAATTGTGATTAATCGCCAAAATAACCCAAATAAGTTTATTTTGGCATAATATATACGTGTGTGTGTGTACTGTGAATTTGTATTATGTTTATATAAATACAAAATTAATCTTTTACCAGCACTAAAAAACAGTAGAAGGCAATTCTGAAAACCCTAAAAGCTTTGTTGTAACTGTCATCGATAGTACAAATTGCCACTGGTGATTGTGATCTGAAAAGCACTTCTGCGACACACATGGATTATCCATTACACAAATCTTGATCTGGGAAGTCATATCCTCTGCTCTGGCTCCAGATCCACAGCCTGCTGAATATGTGCTGATATGATGCCCGCGTTATTACATCAATTACTGAGAAGTGAGAGGTCAAAGCCACAGCAGTTCCTGTTTCTGCATTTGCCCTCCAGCCTCCGTCAAGCCACTGCCGGGCCTCCCGATTAAATCATATCACCCTTACCCAACAGCAACCCACTGTTCCCCACCGCAGAGGCAAAAGATATTAGAGGCCGTGCCTAGAGCGAGCACTGCAAACAATGGGCCGAGTGAGCGTCTGCCCAGCCTGTGACCCCGAACAATCTCTTTAGCCCACAATGAGCGAACACGGTTGTCAAGCCTATGACCATTGATCAGTATTAATATGTTCTTACAATTCTGTGTGAATAAATTAAAAGGTTTTTTGATGGGGGACATACCCTCTGAATGTGTCCAGTGACTTCAGTCTTGATGATTTCGGTTTGCTTTCGTCAATTTGTTGTTCGGTATTAGGCTCCTCCTAAAATAAAGATTAATTAAAACAAATATTTATTTTAAAGTGTTAAAAACAGTGCTTTATATCTTTTTAGAGGTAGATTCAGGGACAAATTAGCTTGAACACAATTTAAGCCAAGAATGGTTTAGTTAGGTGAGTGGGACTAATAAACCACCTGTAGAAACGCACTTCTCTCTATATAAAAAAACACTCCCCCCTCCTTACTTTAGCACTCAATTGTCTGAGCACTAACAGTCTCTTTGTATAATTAGCACTTTTGGTGTGTACTGCCTCTTCTTGTTAAATCCCTAAATGTCTCCACAATTATAAATTGCTTTGGACAAAATCATTTTCTCAATGATGACTAACTGTAAACGTAGCTATAAAATTAACTATATAATTAATAATATTAATTTTTAATATAATTAAAAAATATTATATACAAATATATAAATATATATATATATATATACTAATAAATAATAAACAAAAACAAATATATATTTCATTTTTTTATATTAGATACACATTATTTTTGCTGCTGTTTTAACCAAAGCAACAAAACAGTTATACTAAATATTTTAATAATAATCAATTAGTTATTGGTTAATAAATATAATATAATATAATATAATATAATATACATTTTATAATTTCTTAATTTAATAATTTATTATGACATTTTTATTTACATGATTCAAATTTTGATTATAAACATAAGATCAAAGATTTTTGATGAAAATAGCAGGGGTGCCCAAACTTTTCCTTATGAAGGGCCAAAAACCTAACTTGATTGAGGCTAGAGGGCCGAATGTAAATATAATTGCATGAGTAATTTTCAAATTTATTAAATAAAATTTGAAGATAACTAGAAAACTGCTACACTAGTTTCTGCCTTACCTGTTCAGCATTAAAATACACCAACCCTCTCCATCATTCTCACTCTCTTCTAAGATGGGATGGTGGGCCAAATCAAAAGTTACAATGGGCCAATTTTGGCTAGCAGAGCAATACAAAAATTTTATCATATACAAATATATGCAAAAAGCATAATTCTATATATAATATAATATAATATAATATAATATAATATAATATAATATAATATAATATAATATAATATAATATAATTAAAAACTACTATATTATAAGGTATGAGCTCCAAACTTTCAATGAGTTAAAAAACAAAATCATAGGCTTCATTGTCCATGTTTGGGAAGCGCGAGCAGGCTTGTACATGTTAGGGGAGCATGAATAGTTTCTCTCATTTCCAAAGAAAGACGTTCCCATCCACCATATGGTCTTGTGATGGCAGTGAGATCCATCAGAAAGAAATTAGCATTACCATCTTCCTGCTCTGGCTCTCCAAACAACAGCATGATGGGCCGCAGACAAAGCTAATCAAACTTTCAGACCAGAACAAGAAAACAATACCTCCAAAAAAAACAACAACATATATATATCTTTATGAGCCATTAGCATTTTAGATGTGATCATCTTGGAAGTTGTAGATTAGAACGAATAAAAACAATAAACAATTGCACAGTGTCTGATGCATAACATCTGTTTCTTTTGTGTGATGTACGAACTGTTTTGCTCTCACCATTTCCATGGAGTTCTGAGACCCGTGGTGACACATTCGATTCTTTAGCCTCTGAGAACAGCGTAATCTGTAGGAAATACAATCAAGAATGAACCTAATCATTTTGATTGGTGAAAGCAATTTAAATAAATGTTATGTATACATTTACTAAAGTGTAAAGATGTAAGGTTGTCACATAATATTATCATTATTCATATTTGAAAATTATTTAATTATAATTTTTCATGTTTGTCATTTTCATTATAATACATAATATATATTGTAATAAAATGTAATTTATTCCTGTGATGGCAACGCTGAATTTTCATGATCATTACTCCAGTCTTTACTGTCACATGATAATCAGAATATGATGATTTGATCCTCATATAATTGTTAATTATTATCAATGTTATGATCCCTTGTGCTGCTTGACGTTTGTTCTGGAAACTGACATGCCATTTATGATTATTTGATTAATTTGTAGTTATTTTAATTTGTATTTGAAGTTGTATTTATTTATTTGTATTTATTTGAAATATAAATATTTTTTGCATTATTCTAAATGATTTACTAACTCATTTGATCTATTTTCAGAGATAGTTCACCCTCCAAAAAAAAAAAAAAAAAAAAATCTGTCATCCACTTTTACCAAACTGTTTGAGTTTCTTTCTTCTGTTTTGTTTCTAACACAAAAGAAGATACTTTAAAGAATGTTTGAAATCAGCAGCCATTGACTTCCATGGTATGTTTTTCTCATTAGCATTCTTCAAAATATCATATTTAGTGTTAAACAGAATTTTTTTTTTATAAAGGTGTGAAATCACTTGAGGAAGAGTAAGTGATTAGTACATTTTCATTTTTAGGTGAACTATCCCTTTTACTGTCTGCAGACTTTTGAATGGTGAAGTAATTTCTCAAATTCAAAAGAGAAAATAAGTTAAATGTTTACCTGAGTATATAAGGTAAAGAGACCCAAAATGCAGCAATGAAAGTCAGAATCAAGAACGCCGCCAACAGTGCTGAGGAAACAATATCAAATTTGTCATGTCAAAGCAATGGTTGTAAACATTTCGTCTAGTGTTTTTACAGTTGTTACAAGCAATGATGATTCTGTGATTGTTTCTTGAATTAGTAAGTCTGATAACTTATTGAAACCTTTTAAAGAAAAACAAGTCCTACCACAAAAGAAGAAAAATGTGTCGCTCATTCAATGCATGTGAACAGTGAGCAGCATTTAAAAAGTGATGTGTTTTTTAGACAAATATGCAGAAGTATCACAGAATCACAGTATCACTGTGAGTATGATAAAGTCACACAAGCTGAATTTAATGTGTTATTTGTCATACATATTTACCAATGCTTATCTGCATTTGCTTACGATTGCACATTCACGAGTCTATTAAATCAACAGTTTTGAATAACCAATATAGATTGAAATTCAGCACAAAACCCATTTAGGGATAAACATAAAGAGGACCAGACGTGACACTTAAAAATAAAATGAAGAATCAATTGAACAATTTAATCATTCTAACATAAAAATAAATAGTCAAGCCCAAAAATATTCATACCGTAGCCCTCGCAAATTCTGACTGAGTTTTTGTACAAATGTAAATACAAGTTAAGAATTTCTTTTCACAATGTTGCCACTTATATACCTTCTTATTATCTTCTGAGAGAAGCCTGTGTCATTTCCAGCCCTATAAAAAAAACTTGCTGGTTGAACAAATGTAACTTTAAGTCAGAATTTGCCAAACGTATGAATAATTTTAGGCCTGACTGTACATATAAAGAAATTACCTTTATCTTTAAGACGCATTTCTATTTATTGTTTAATTCGTGTTTTGAAATATCATTTAATAAAACAGTGCATTTTAAAATGATTTAAAAGAGTATAAACAGACAGACCTATTGAAAACTGTTTATTAATTCATGTTTTAAAATGCTGATTAAAAGTCAAAATAAAATAAAAAACAATTTAAAATGATTAATAATATACTTTTACTTGTGTTTCAACACTTCATGAAATGTTTTCAATTTGTCTATTTAATCAAACATTGAAAATGCTCTGTTGTATTAAATGACATTTTAAAAAACACAAATGACACTGATTCTTCACCTTATATTTAAGTGTCACTTCTGGTCCTCCATATAAACATACCTGCTGTGATCTTATTAACACAATATTGCAGTCCTAATTACCTACAATGTAAAGAAACATTTGGAAAATAGTCATGACAACAAATGCTTTTATGTTACTTTAACCTAATTTACTAAGTTAATAAGGTTTCAACTACACTGTAAAAAAAAAAATAGACTTAAAATTGACATTAAACTTAAATTTTAAGGCAACCGGCTTCATTTTTGAGTTTACTTAACTTAAAGGGCACCTATGATGAAAGTCATCTTTTGTAAGCTGCTTGATCAGAACTGTATGTAGGTATAATGCCCACAGTCATACTGGAGATATAGAAACAAAATAAGTCTCTTTTTTTTCAACTTCCTGATGTTAAAATAGATCCAAATCTCTCCCATTTTGAGGCCCACCACAACGTGATGTAGGAGTGCTGTTTCCCTGCCTACCGAACTGACTGATAGCCGCGTATTAACATATCTCCATAGTGACGCCTATAATCATACCAGACAGCACATGCACAAAGCAACCAGGATTAAAAGATCTGTTGAGCTTGCGATGATCATCAATCATCATCAAATGTGATCAAGAATGAGTTTTACAAGTTTAAAGTGTTTTTAAAACAGCGCATGTTTGTAATGAATTACACAATTACACAATTTTTCTGTCTTCATCACCACAGCCGCATGTCAGTACAGTTGTAAAAGAAGACGCTTCAATAACGGTTTGTGGATGTTAAATCAGGTTTATTTTGTACATTACCATAACGGATATCCATAAAGCAGTGGATATTAACATGCATCCTGTCACATTTGCTGTGCAAATACAGTGCAAAGTTAAATGTGCATGCTGTGTGTGTGTCTGTGTGTGCAAGTGAACTTTGTAACGACATTGTGTTTGACTCATCGTTGCAGAAAGGCGTGAATTACTTTACGACACACACATCAAATAATCATTGGGAAAGTTCTTACTGTAGTATTTCTCATGAACATTATGTGAGATCTGCTTTCTTCATGTGCTGTTTATCTGACGCAGCTGGAGATTGAGCCACTCTCTGACAGGCACGTGGGAACAGTATAGGGAGAACGTTCGAGGTTACTAAAGTAACCCTTCGTTCCCCGAGGAGGGGAACGGAAGCACTATAAGTGGATTTGATTTGTAAAATCCACGCATTGGGAGGATTCGGATCAGAAGCCGCTTGTCTGGAGAGTATTGAACGGGCCAATGAATGAAATTAATTGGCAGCGTAAGCTTGCGCAGGTGTGCGACATCTGCAATTATCTCAGCATATAAGCACACCTGAAGCCAGCAGACGCCATCCTTTTAAGCTGAAGAGACTTTCAAACAGCTAAGGGACAGTCATTATGGCGACGGAGTATAGTGCTTCCGTTCCCCTCCTCGGGGAACGAAGGGTTACTTTAGTAACCTCGAACGTTCCCCTTCGGGGGGAACTTCAGCACTATAAGTGGATTTGATTTGTAAAATCCACGCATTGGGAGCCCATTGAAAGCGCCATAATGACTGCACCTTACCAACACCCCCGATGAGGAGATAGTCAAGCAAGCGTGACGCACCCACATCATGGGGGGCGCGGTCCTCCAACGTGTCCCTGGCCCTAATTTATCCTACTTCAACAGAAGTTTTACGGATTTAGATATATTTTTTGGGAAGTCGTGAGCATCTAGATAATTCTAGGAAATACGACAGTACGTTGGGAAGCGTGCAATCCCGATAGGGAGGACGCTGCGGAGGCCATCCGTTACCCAAGGGGGGGATAGATGGCAGAATTTACATATGGACTAGCCCCAAAAAGGGGGAGTACGCATAGCAAAAGAGTGGTTAGCGGAGAGGGAAGACACGGGTCCGCCCAGGGGGGGGACTTAACCGTGGCGGAATAAGCATATGGGATCGCCTAGTGGGGATCACGCATAGCAGGCACCTATACCCAAAACGCGGGCTGACCAGCGGGCAGACCTACAACGTAGTGGGCCAGCAAGTGACTCCTCCACTGAGTCAGTGCTGGGGGCCACGGAGGAATCTGCAGGGCTCACCTGACGGGGAACTTTACTGACAGATAATAAAGGCGCACGTACCTCCGTGTTAGGGAGAATGGCGCAGCAAGCGTGTTTCAACACCCTACCGAGTTGTCTCCTCAATCACCAAAGGGTTACCTAATACCCTTGAGGAAACCGGCTCCACTCGCAGATTGTAAAACCTTGCAAATGTGTTGGGTGTCGCCCAGCCCGCAGCTCTACAGATGTCTGTTAGAGAGGCGCCGCGTGCACGCGCCCAAGAGGATGCAACGCTCCGAGTGGAGTGTGCACGAACTCCCGGGGGACACGGCTGACCTCGACTCGAATAAGCGAGTGAAATGGCATCCACAATCCAGTGGGATAATCTTTGTTTCGATACGGCACTTCCCTGCTGCCGACCGCCATAACAGACAAAGAGCTGCTCAGATGATCTAAAATTCTGAGTACGGTCCACATAAATGCGCAGAGCGCGAACTGGACAAAGTAAAGAAAGGGCTGGGTCTGCCTCCTCCGGGGGCAGCGCTTGCAGGTTCACTACCTGATCTCTAAAGGGGGTGGTAGGAACCTTGGGCACATAACCGGGGCGGGGTCTCAGGATGACGTGAGAGTAATCCGGCCCGAATTCCAGGCACGAGTCACTGACCGAAAATGCCTCCAGGTCCCCGACCCTCTTGATGGAGGCCAACGCAACCAGCAGAGCTGTCTTCAGGGACAGAAATCTTAGAGATACTGATTCGAGTGGCTCAAAGGGATCGGATCGCAGACTCGTGAGAACGAGGGCGAGATCCCAAGAGGGCATGAGAGGGGGGCGAGATGGATTAATTCGCCTAGCACCCCTAAGGAACTGGATGACCAGGTTATGCTTTCCCACGGTGCCGCCAGCTACCGCGCTATGATAAGCGGAGATGGCGGCCACGTAAACCTTGAGAGTGGAGGGCGACAGCCTGCTGTCCAACTTCTCTTGAAGGAAAGAGAGCACAACACTAATCTGGCAATTTCGGGGGTCTTCTCTGCGAGAGACGCACCATTCAGTGAATAGACTCCACTTCAGGGCGTAGGCGCGCCTCGTGGAGGGGGCTCTAGCCTGAGTGATGGTATTAACCACCGCAGTCGGTAGGTTACCTAAGTCTTCCTCGCGTCTAGGGACCACACGTGGAGGTTCCAAAGATCGGGGCGAGGGTGCCAGATGGTGCCCTGTCCCTGAAAGAGTAGGTCCTCTCTCAAAGGGATCTGCCAGGGGAGGGCCGTCGCGAGGAGTGAGAGCTCTGATATCCAGGTCCGGTTGGGCCAAAGGGGCGCAACTAGCAGAACCTGTTCCTCGTCCTCCCTGACCTTGCACAGAAACTGCACGAGCAGGCTCACTGGGGGAAACGCATACTTGCGCATGCCCCGAGGCCAGCTGTGGGCCAGTGCATCCGTGCCGAGAGAGCCCTCGGTCAGGGAAAAAAACAACTGGCAGTGAGCGTTCTCGGGGGAAGCAAACAGATCGATCTGGGCCTCCCCGAATCGCGCCCATATCAGCTGAACAGACTCGGGGTGGAGTCTCCATTCTCCAGGGCGTAACAGCTGTCGTGAGAGCGCATCGGCTGCACGATTGAGCGTGCCTGGGACGTGAATGGCGCGCAGCGATTTCAGCCGCGGGTGACTCCAGAGGAGCAGACGGCGGGCGAGCTGAGACATGCGGCGAGAGCGCATACCCCCCATGCGGTTGATATACGCCGCCGCCGCCGTACTGTCCGTCCTGACCAGCACGTGTTGCCGCTCCAGCACCGGTAAAAAGCGGTGGAGAGCGAGGAACACTGCCAACAGCTCTAAGCGATTGATATGCCAATGCAGCTGGGCACCCTTCCAG